AGTTGATATGGAAAGTTGGGTCTTTTGTACTCCTGTACATGGAAAGCTCTACCTCAAATTTGAAAAGTTTACTATGCAACACGTCTATCTAAAATGGGAAGATTCGGAGTTTGATCAAAAACCATGGACTGATTAAATCAAAATTTCTATCAAAAAGAGGTTTTATTACACTAATGCTGCAAGGTGATTCTTGAGAATCCTTTGGAATTCTTGACTTGCATTGGTTTTAGTTATTGCAAATAGTTTTTAATTTTCAGTTCTTTTTCTTTGTATTATGGTAAATAGAGGCAACTTGTATTGGGGGAACAATAATGGTAATTAGTGGTTTAAAGTTTGAAAAATTCTTGATATGTAGTAGGATGTCATTTGTACTATTTGAGATATAAGGTAGATGTTATATGGGTTGCTAAGAAAAAAGAGTACTCGAACACAATCTTTATAGCTTCAATTATGGAAGAGTATGACAAAACTGCTCGGTAGGACCTTTTATTTATCGTGTTGCAAGAAAACTGGAGTTGTAAGCGAACGATTTAATGTGCAGTGCACATAATGTTTCTAGTATCTATTGAGAATTGTTCTTTTATGTTATATTGGTTATCTCCATCTTAACGATGTGGTACAGGACACCTTTGAAATTAATTTTTGTTGCCTATGGTGTGCCAGAGTGTGGAATTGGTGCTGCAGTTGGGCAAGATTGTGCACTGTTTGAGAAGGTATGTGGATGGATTAACAGAAAAAATGTTCTTGTTTGGGCAAAGAGAGAAGTGGCTTGCTACAATCAATTCGACTTCTTGTCATATCGGAGGTATTGATGATTCACATTGTAGCTATTTGCTTGAAATTTTATGAAATTAAGAAGGTGGCTAATGTCGGGGAAACCGGTGGATTGATGACGGAGTTTGACCAAATGTGCCTAATTTTCGAGTACCACCTAAGCAACATGCTATTATTAATTTGGGAGAAGAAAGAATACAAAATTTTTGGTGTCTTCCAATTGGAAGGGGAGAGTGTTAATTTATAACTCTCAAACACTCCCCCCAAGACCTATCCCACTGATGTGGGACATAAACTTATGCCAAAAAAGTCAACAAATCTCCACATTGGTATAATTTCTAGTCCCACTACAAATACAAACCTTCTAACATGCAATCATCCCCTTGACCACAGTAAAATTCTCCAGACTTTATGTCCATTAGAATTGGATCAGCATCCATTTAGATATTACGCAGCAAGAACTTGACCATAGTAAAATTTTTCAGACTTTATTTTCTTTAGAATTCGATCGGCATTCATTCAAATATTATATACAATCGAGAACATATTTCTTTTCTTGCACCATCAATGTGAAACCCAAAAAAAATTTATCTATACTTATTGATTCAACAGAAAATAACAAAAGATTTTTATTTAACCAAGTATTATCATACTTCAGGTGTTGAAAAAAAATTGAAATTCGTTGTTTTTTTTGGTTCTTGGGGAGGTTAAACTAGTCTAGCATCTATTTACACAAACAAAATGTGAAGTAGTTATCTCCACTACATCATTATCCCCAATACATCATTTGCTATTAATTGTCTGAGTTCATTTGGTAAAAGCAGAATTTTCATCTGGTGGTGAGTAATAAGCAGAATTTTCATATGGTGGTTCTGAGTAACAAGCATCATTTGTATCCATGTTAATGCTTCTCTTTGCTAGTCAGTCTGCACAGTACTTCCCCTCTCTCCAATTGTGCTGGATATTACAGTTTCAATCTTGATTGAGTAGCACTCTTTGTATTTGTAAGGTAAATAGTGTAGGAGGCAAAGTGAATCTCAAATCTACTTGCGTAATGTGCCTGGAAAATAAAGCAATAGCCTATTTGTTCTGCTATGCCTGAGATTACATTCTGCCTAGGTAAATACCCTTATCCTTAGAGGATCTTGAGCTCGAAGATGCGAATGAAACAAGCACTTGAAGGGAAAATAATAGTGAAAAAAGCCCCTCAAGATATCTGAAACTCAGAAGATTTAGTTGATCATGAAATTCATTTCAGTTAACAGAATCCATTCTCAGCGCAGAGAATATCCTTTCTCTCTTGGGAAAAAAAAGGAAAAAGAAAAGCGTATCTTAAGATGACACATTCCAGAAAACGTTGGTATATGGTCTCTGGGAATAGTAGGGTCCTTTGATGTCAAGGGACAGCATCCGACATGCCTAAGGACTTTCAAACTATTAACAAAAGCTCCACTCATTACCAATTGGTTTTGAGTTGGATGAATAGGTGCTCACTTGATATTTACTAAGAAGTTCCGGTGGAGGTGCTAATGATAGGAAGCTGTTTTATCTGAGGTAGGGGAAGAGGAAATGAACCTCTGCATACCGTTGAGAAGATCTTCCTTATTTGGGACTGAATTATGAGCATCTTCTCAACCAGTATATATCTGCTTAGTCTTTTGAGGAGTTTCCACAGGAAATATTAAAGAGACTCTAAACACGTTTTGAAGATATTGGCCGTTGTTCTTGATGAAAATCATTATATGTGTATAACATCAAACATCTGAACAAGTTGCTACAGATTAATTTAAAGACTAGTTGAACTCCAGCAAAAAATGCGGGAGACATCTTATTCTTGCCGGTCTTCATATCTGGAGGCAGAGAAAAGAACTGCAGCACCTGTCTCACTAGAATGATTTACTAAACATTCGTTGGTTATCTGTTTATGCTATAGGTTATGCACTAAATTACCCCTCTGAGAAGCTTCATTTTCCTTTTTGTAGTGTTCAAAAACTACAAGTTCAAAGTTTCATTTTCCTTTTTGTAGTGTTCAAAAACTATAAGTTCAAAATTTTGGTATCACCAGTACTGTGTACTTAGAGCAGCTTAAAACATGTACATGCATGGTGAAATTGATCAGCGCTATGTGGGGACTAAGATTTACGCAAAGAAGAACCTTTTAAGGTCATTGGCTTGCTTGGAATTCATGATCCTAAGAATATTTTGAGGCCTTGTGCTCGTTCTAGTTGCTTGAAGTTATCAAAGATAAGTCGAGGCTTGACCATTAGACAGAGGAACATTATGGATTGTTGAACTGGGATGGCAATCAAGCAGAGTCAAGGAATCTGATATCTCCAGAGACTAAGAGCTCTGACTTTGGACCACAACCGTTGTGAAATATCATCAGTAGAGCCACTAAACTGAAAATGCACATTACTCTCCTTGAATACAATTACAAAGCTCTAGCAGCCACAGTTTAACATAATCTGGCCGAGCCTGATTGTGGTCAACAAAGTAAAGGCCCCTTTTCAGAAATCAATGACACAATAAACACTTGGGTACCTTTGTATCCTCAAGCGAAGAACTTTATAGGATGGAGCTAGACACGTCAAAAAAAAAAAAAAAAAAAAAAACAAGAACATTATATGATCTATTCTACCCGAACAAACAAGAGTGCTCAAATCAAATTTCGAGCGCACAAACGCAATAGGATAACAATGCCGAGACCAATGATGGAGCCAAGGAGGGGCAGAGGCCCCCCTAAGTTTTAAAAATTTTAATTCATAATATGTAAATATGTGTGTAAAATAAAATTGGCTCCCCTAAATTTTTACAATTTTAGTTTATATTATGAGAGTTGATATATATATATATATATATATATATGTATATATGAATTGGTCATCTAGTGGATATATTTCTTGCAACAATTGATTATCAATTGCAAGAGTTATATAGCAGGTTTAATTATCATACCATGGAATTGCTTGTTTTGAGCACTGCTTTGGATCCTAGAAATGGATTTATGCTGTTCAAGATTGATTATATTTGTAAACTTGCAGAGAAGTTCTATCCGAATGATTTTATGGAGCAAGAACTAGTACGTCTAAGAATAGAACTTCCACATTTTGAGCTCGTCATTCCAAATCATCCTGAATTGCAAGAATTATTTGGTATTCACGAGTTATGTCAAGGCTTGGTGAAGATAAGAAAATTAGTAATATATCCTCTTATTGACAGATTGATTAGACTTGTTCTTACTCTTCCTATATCAACTGCAACTACAGAGCGGGCATTTTTAATTATGAAAATAATCAAGATAAAGCTCCGAAACAAGATGGAAGATAATTTCTTGAATGATTGTCTAACTGTGTATATAGAGAAGGAAGTTGCTGAAAAATTTAGCAGTGATTCAATCATAGATGAATTAAGTTCTATAAAAGAGCGTAGAACTCAATTTACTTCTAAGAAAAGATGTTGAAATTTCAAAGTATATTAACATAACTTTTATCTTTTTTCAATTGAAAATAGTTACATTTATATTACATGATTATATATATATATATATATATATATATATATATATATATATATATATATATATATATATATATTGCACAGGTGACATATTGGAGTGCATCTTCTCATAATGTGCAAATTGGATGGTTTGTAATGCTATAAGATATTTAATCAAAAATTATTTTTTTGTTAGTTTTTGTTATGACTGTACCGTATATTTATGAATAAACATACCTTTATAATTAAATTTAATATTTGATATTTTTAGATGTCATATATTTAAATATAAGAAAATTATTTTGAACATAATATATTAAGATAATTTTATTAGGAAAAAATTTTGGCCCCAAAAAAAAAAAAATCCTGGCTCCGTCACACTGACCGAGACAATGTAAAAGGAATGATTCCTGAAATGAAAGTCTACCCTCTTTTGTTTCGAAGGTTAGCTCTTTATCGAATTCAAGATTCTTCCAATGTAAAACGGGCACAAGTTGCATTCTGTAAAAGTTGGCAAAGCAAGGGAGAGATGTAAAATGAAATTCTTGATTGAGAAATGAGAATGAAGAACATTACTTGTCATCATTGAAAGAAAATGGGAGATCTTTAATCTATTCCCGATTTCCTTTGCGATGGGATAGAGTTAGAGAGAATTTCCTTGTACTAACTGAATCTAATTGATAAAATTCGATGAAGGGGATGGATGTGCCGTCAGAAGAAGCCAGGCTAGGCTGCTCCTTCTTGTCCTTAGGTGCTAGGCGGTAGATTCTTTCCATAATCTGGCCGGGAGTCCACGCAGAGGGACCGGAAATGGACCATACTGAACTCCACTATTAGATCCCACCACTTCCCACCTACAATACACAAACAACGACCCACTGAAAATTCCCCTGTCAAAAATCATCGAGCACTCAACTCGAACAGAACTGCTAGTAATACCGGTATATCATAATACTACCATTGGTCATTCTTAGGTAAGGTGGCTTTTTTTTTTGTGCAAGATTTGGCAAAAAAAAAAACCTGAACTTGGAGACTAGGTGGTGGATCAGTACGAGCATTTCCAGCTTTGCAAGCTCATTACCAGGACCGGCGTGTGCTCCGCTGCCAAATGGCATAAAAGTGTTGGGCTTTGGGGCAACCTATACAAGTGCAACACAGGGCATTTTAGAACAGGATCTTGATCTTGTTAGCTGTTACTTATGCAAAATCTGGACCAAGTAAATTGGAGCTTTAAGGAAAGATCTTTAGACGTTTTTGCATTTGGGAGTTTGGCCAAATAAATTCTGATTCTGTACCTCAAATCTTGAAGGATCAAATCTCTGGGGTTCAGTAAAGAATTCTTGATTGTGATGAATATTCCTGAACAAAGGCATTACCTTCCAGGATTTGGGGCAGGGACGGTCATCAGTATGACCGTCCCTGCACGGTTAAGGGCCAAGATTTGCCCTCAAAATTTTGTGCGATTGAGATTACACCATGTAATTCGATTTTCGTGTCAAGTGTGGGGCCCACCACTATCTGTTGTGAAAATACATCATGTGAAAAAAAAGTTACACGATGTACAAAGAAAGTTACGCGCAGTTGATAATGACCAAAATTGCCCGGGACGGCCGTGCCCCGAGTCCTACCTTCCAACCTTTTGGAATAAGGTACCCTGACATAATCATGAGTTTTCAATTCCTCCACATCTTTTGTCAGAAAAGAATTGTATATATAAACATTTTCATCTGAAAAAGGAGAACTCTGACTCAAACCCAGAAATCATATTTTAATCCCAGATCAATTAGTTGCTAGAAAATAATTCACTTCCAGTAAGCTTTACCTTTGTACTCTACATCAGCTACTGCTTCCCTAAATATGAAAGATATAATGCTTGCAATTCTTAAGCTCTCTAAGATGCCTGAGGACACACATTGTTACCAAATACAGTTATTCCAACTTCATAAGAGGTAAAGAAAAAGTGAAAAAAAAGGGGACCCCATTTGCACATTCTCATAGCAGTTACTATACCTTGTAAGTTAATGGCATCTCTCTAGTCTGAACCCATGTCTGTGACGCCCCCACTTCTCCCAAGGGCGAACCCGAGGGTATCGGCAGGACGCCTGTCCAACTCGCGCCAGGACTCGAAGTCAAAAGCAAATAAAGGCTAAAAGTACCAAAAGAGTAATATTCACATTATATACATCAGTAAAAGAGTTCTATTTACATCCCCAAAAGTAACTACCCATACCATTACATCCTTATGATTATAACCAAAATCAAAGAGTAAACCCAAAGAAGGGTCCTTACACGGATCACTATAATAGGGAAAAACATATTAACTATTCGGTTATTACAAACAAAACCCAACTATACTAGTGATGGTGCCAAAATTTCCCCGCGTCGGCTCTTGCTAAGGAAAACAAAAGAAAAGGGGGTAAGCTATAAACTTAGTGACTAACCAGGGGTAAAAATGTAATTTTTACATGTTAACATTTGCACAGTGAGAGTAAAGCAAAAGCAGAAGAATAACACCACATGGTAAGGATACGGGTGGCTCCAAAGCCAACTTATTTGTCGAGGTTGATCACTGGTTGACCCTTGAGATCCTGAGCCACACAGCTCGCTTCTCTTAAAGGATCCCACATAGAGAGACCATGAGCCTCAACTCAAGTCACGAGCAATAAATTCTCTAAAATATTTTTCAAGCAAAAAATGCTCTAAAATCGTAGTTCAAACAATAAATGCTCTGGTTCAAGCAATAAATGAGCAATAAATGCTCTAGTTCAAGCAATAAATGCTCCATAACAAATCACAAAAACATATTTCACAGGTATCAATAGCAACTAATGGGGTTTAGGTCGAGTGTGATAAAGTACACTCTCGCCTAAGTGCCCATTTTCATAGTAAACTCATATTAATATTGAGTTACACAGAAACCCTGATTACTCACCTAAAGAGCAAGTATAACGAGAGAAAGTACGAAAATGAATTCAAGTCGTCAGCTAGTGGGCTCCACCGGCTCCGTCTAGCCCGTCACCGCCTGTAGCAGAAGGTTGAGCTATATTATCACACAAACAACTACTAAAGTGCATAAGTTAAGCAAAACGACAAAATTGGCACATGCATGTGCGGAATCGGCAAATGGAAATGGAAACGGCCGGCAAACTGAAATGGGCATAGTTACTGTCCCAAACTGTTTAGACCATAAGTTGGGCTAGGAATGTCGGATTAAAGTGTATGAGATACCGTCTTGAAGATAAAAGAAAAGGCTACAACTTTTGTGAAGATACCTAAATCCGGATCTGAACAGAAATAGGTCGAAAGTATGGAAAACAGTGCCAGAAGTTCGCACTTTAGGGTGACGGACAAGGTATGTTTACTGGACCATAACTCACAGCTCGCAAATCCGAATCAAGAAATTCTAAAGGCGTTAGAAATCTATGTCATAATGCTAAAACTTTTATGTTTTGGCCAAAACCTGAATCAATATAGAGCAGGGTGAAAAATGGGTCCAAAGTTCCTGTCAGAACTGTCTAAATTCAAAGGCAGTTCTGACAACCGATCTTGTTTTGGTTATAACTGGAGGTACGGAACTCGGATTTGGACGTACTTTATACTGTTTTGAAGCTAAAATCAAGATCTAAATTTCTTATGAAAGGGTCAACACCCAGTTCGCATGTTATCCAGGCGAACCGAGCATGGTCAGAGGCTAAATCCAAAAACGTAACACAATCCAGTGTTCAAAATAGGTGCAAGTGTTTTGGCTATAACTCGGGCTACACTGATCCATTTGACCTGAAATTTTGCAGGAATAACAAGGCCTTAAGAAACTACAACTTTCATGTTTTGGCTAAATGCTAGTTCAGTATGTATCTAGGTGAAAAGACGCGATCAGATTGGTGCACTGTCAAAACTGTTCACTGACTTTAATCCTATGGCAGTCAGGGTAATTCCATCTTTTCACAGGTTATGTTGCTCTGATTGAGGTGAAATTTTGCAGGCAACTATAAAACATCATTTCCTACAACTTTCATGTTTTGTGTTAAGGCCAATTCGGCCTCTAACTAGGTCTAACAGATTCAGGCAGAACAGGGTTAATCACAACCCTCAACTGTAATTTTCCGCACTAACCAGAAATTTTCCGTAGCCGATCGTATCCAACATATATTAGCTTCATTTTACACCATAATAAACCCTCATTCCATAACTAAACCATGATTATCATATAAAACAGAAAAATAGCAATAATAAATCAAAATCCATCAAAACTTCCCCTCCAACCATAAACACACCATAATCACACCACACGTCATCATATCTAGCCACTAAAGCCACTAATTTAACATTATCAAAGCTAAAGGGAAATGTTCTTACAACTCACCTTGTAACCTCAAGAAAAGAAGCACCTTAGCACCTCCTCTTTCCAAACCACTCCACCACCTTCCACAATCCTACCTAGCTAAGGAGTTTTATGGAGTGATTTCAAGTTTGGATGGTTGAATCACAAGATTTGTGCAAGAAATGGATGAAGTAGTTTAAGCCTTCTCTCTCTCTCTCTCTCTTTAGTTTTTGATTTGGTTTATGTCTTGTGTTCTCTTGGATGTTCTAGAATTAATACTTAGTCAAGACCATTAGTAGATATTTTCCACCAACCAATCACATAAAAGATGATTATTCACTTCCTAGTCCTTGCAACTTCCTTTTTGTTTTCTCACACTCTTGCCCACAAATGTTTGGAACTTTTGCACTTAACTCCATAGGATACAACTTATTCTAATCCAAAATACTTTATCACACTTAATCATTTCACTAATCACCTTATTATCTTAATCACCCATCCTTAATTATTCCTTATTCCACATAAAAGCAACTAAACCACAATCTTTTTTTTACATTAGCTAGATTAAGGGTTTTAAACCCAACTTAAGGTTGTTCAATTAGCAAAACACTAGGAAATTTACTAGTGTAAGACGTTTTAACTTTCTAATCCTACTTAACCTTTATAATAGAAATCGAATCCGGTATCTACTCATACGAAAACATACATTAGCATGCATAATATTTACTATAAACTTATGATTAATACGTAAACTAGGGTTTTGTGTAAAAATATCAAAGGTGTAAATCCATTAGGTTTTAATAAAATTCCAAATTAAGGTTTTTCGATTCTAAAAAGCAAAATCACATGTAAAGAATTCCTATCATCCTTAAAATCAAATTTTATAGCAAAATTTAGCACTACTATTCCATATTCAAAATTAAGGACGAATCGGGATCTCACAACGTCAACTGACAATGTTCTTTGGTATTTGATTGGTAGATAGCCTTCTGTTTGGCCTGCATAGACATTTTAGACATTGAATGCAATCATGACAGTGTCCTTAATATCAAAGTTTAAGTCCAAGACACAGCGAATGGACAATGAGGGGCTCCTTTTATTTCCCTTTTAGTGGGAAAGAAAATGTGACCATATTCTGGAATGCACCTTTACAGTCTTCAGAAGTTTCGGGTTATCGTGCAGGTACTTGACTATCCATGTCAAGACACTGGCTGTAGTATCCTGTGCGGCAAATAGAACACCAATGATGTTATCTGCAATCTGATCCTCCTTTATGTGACATACGTGAGCTAATGTGACCTAAAGCTCATGTGACTAGGGACTTCAATATCGAGAAGCTTGTCAAAGTCTAGCTTAGAATGCCTAATTAACAACCCTACTTAGAGGGTCACAAGCCTCAATCTCCAGAACAAATCCTGGCGCAACTGGATTATGATATATCACATGCTTGTCATTTCGCATAAAAGTCCCTGTGGTGTTGGATTACGGGTGGCAATGGGGCGGGGTTGGGGCGGGGCATCCTTCCCCCACCCCCGCCCCGTTGTCAAATAACTCCCCCCGTCCGCCGACTCATCCCCCGCCCCTTGTCCCCCACCCCCGCCCCGTCCCCGCCAAGAAATCAACTTATCATAAATGTTTATTTATAATAATACAATTGTAAATAATGTTAAATAAAATTAAAAAGCTGCCAAAATGGAAATAAAGCATAACAAGTCAAGTTAGATTTAGTGCGGAGGAAGGGAACCGATCGAAATAAAAAGGGGTTAGGAGCAAAACAGGTTGGAATCAGATAGCTTAATCTTTGTGGGAGGGGTGGGTGTTAGAAACAAATCAATAATAGTCCAAGAAATTTCTTCAATTGTTGCGGCAGACGTTGACACTAACTAACGTTGTACTTGTAAGTAAGTCCTAGAGGAGTCATGGTTAAAAGCAAGGGGGGGACAAAGTGGATTGAATTTAAATATGAGAAGTGTCCTGACTTCTGCTTCTGTTGTGGTCTGATAGGACACTCTGAATGACATTGTACTAGGAAGGGGATGAACATGGATAAAGAGAATCAATATGGTAACTGGTTGAGGGCCAGCTTCCCTAGGAGTCCTAGGAGGAAGGCTAGGAATGAGAGGGATGAGGAGAAACCAGAGAGGGAACCAAATCTGGAAAAGGAAGGTAGTGTTCCTCATTACCCTCTGTTGACTTACACTAGAGAGTTCCACAGTTTCTCTAGGAATCCTGGATTCTCAACTATAAGGGATGAGGGGCAGAGAGTGTGTGACGCCCCGAAAGATTGAGTGTGAAAACCCGAAAAATTTTCTATATTTTCAAGACATTATTTTGTTTCCTTGTCTATAATTTTGTACCTTTCTTCAATATATTAATTTCCTATACATTTATTGTAAGGGAATATAGTTTTCCAACCATTTTTCTAGTACAAGTTAGTCCAAGTTAATTTTGAAGTGCGTTTTGAACGTGGGACCCGCTAGTGCAGTAAATGCAATATATTTTTGATAACTTGTTGGAGTTTTGTATTAAATGATATTATTTTAC